AGCTCTGAAATAAATAGTGCGGTGGGGGGGGGGTGAAGTGATAGCAGGTAGATTGTGGAGCGGATAGGTGGAAGAGAAGACGGACAGGTCAAGGAGGCAGGGATGAAGCTAGTAAAGGTGAGAGTAGGTAGGAAGTGGGGGTGGGGATTGGTCAGTGAGGTCAATGCCAACCGACTCCCAGAGCTACCTAGACTACACCTCCTCTCACCCACCTTCCTGCAAGAATGCAATTCTCTATTCCCAATTCCTTCTGCCTCCACCGCATCTGCTCCCAAGATGAGGCGTTCCACTCCCGGACATCCCAGATGTCCTCATTTTAAAAGGACCTCAATTTCCCCCCATCAATGGTGGAAAATGCCCTCAACCACATCTCTTGCATTTCCCGCACCTCAGCCCTTGCACCCCCTCCCTGCAATAAAAACAAAGACAGAATTCCCCTTGTCCTCACGTATCACCCCATTAACCTCCGGGTTCAACGCATCATTCTTCGCCACTTCCGCCACCTGCAATCTGACCCCACTAAGAAGGATATATTTCCCTCCCCACCCTTATCTGCCTTCCGGAGGGAGCACTCCCTCTGCGACTCCCTCATCTGCTCCACACTCCCCACTAGCCCCACAACCCCTGGCACCTTTCCCTGCAGCCGCAGGAGGTGCTACGCCTACCCCTACACCTCCCCCCTCACCTCCATCCCAAGCCCCAAAAAAACGTTCCACATTAAACAGATGTTCACCTGCACATCCGCTAATGTGGTCTGTTGTATCCGCTGTTCCTGATGTGGCCTCCTCTGCATCGGGGAGACCTACCGGAGGTTTGGAGACCGCTTTCTGGAGCACCTATGCTCGGTTCACGACAAATGACAACATCTCCCAGTCGCGAACCACTTCAACTCCCCCTCCCACTCCCTGGACAACATGTCCATCCTGGGCATCCCCCAGTGTCACAACGATGCCACCCAGAAACTGCAGGAACAGCACCTCATATTCCACCTTGGAAGCCTACAACCCAATGATCTTAATTGGACTTTACTAGCTTCAAAATCTCCCCACCCCTGACCTCATCCCAAGACCAGCCACCCCTCTCATCCCCGCCTCCTTGACCTGTCCATCTTCTCTCCTACCTATCCGCTCCTCCCACCTCACTGACCAATCCCCATCCCCACTTCCTACCTACACTCACCTTCACTAGCTTCATCCCCAACTCCTTGACCTGTCCGTCTTCTCTCCCACCTATCTGCCCCTCCCTCCTCACTGAACAATCCCCATCCCCACTTCCTACCTACACTCACCTTTGCTAGTTTCATCGCCACCTCCTTGACCTGTCCGTCTTCTCTCCCACCTATCTGCTCCACAATCTACCTGCTATCACTGAGCCCCCACTCTCTATTTGTTTCAGAGCCCCCTTCCCCTCCCGCATTTCTGAAGAAGGGTCCTGACCCAAAACGTCAGCTTTCCTGCTCCTCTGATGCTGCCTCGCCTGCTGTATTCCTCCAGCTCCACACCTTGTTATCTCAGACTCCAGTATCGGCAGTTCTTACAATCTCTGTAGGTTAGGTGGAGTGGCCATGGTAAATTGCCCATAGTGTCCAGGAATGTGCAGGCTAGGTGGATTAGCCATGGGAAATATAGGGATGGTTACTAGGATAGAGTAGGGGGATGGCTCTGGGTGGGATATTCTTCGGAGGGTCAGTATGTACTCAGTATGGGCTGCTTCCACAATGTAAGGATTCTATTCTATTCTATGATTTTTGACAGCTCTTAGTTTCCTGCAATGGTAATTGCTATGTTATGTTAGCAGGTTCTCATTGACTTATTGGTAAAAGGCCGAGATAATGATAACCAGCAAAAGATCACATTTTTGTTTAAAACTTAAAATTAATGACTGTATATCACTGTGTCACTTAGAGCTCCTTTCGTTAAATTCCATCATGTGAAAATTACAGTAACATTGTCTGGTTGCAAGTATAAATCTCCACCATCTAGCTGGCAACTTTTCTGATAATTATTTGTTGAGTATAAAGTGCTAGAGAAATTCAGGTCTGGCAGCATCTGTGGTAAAAGAAACAGAGTTTGTGTTTCAACTCCAGTATGACTGTTCTCATGGTTTGTACTGGGAGACTTCTCAAATTTTAATGTTTAAATTTCATCCATACCCCCTGTCCACTTGAAGATCTTTGAAAATTCAGCTGTGCCAGCCTGTGGCGAGGTGCTCCAAACAGCCTGGCAGCATATCACCCTACAATTAGAGAATTTGTAATCTGCGTTAGGCAGGCAAAGCCTTGAAGTGATGAATGCTCAAATAGCTTGTCTCAGACTCTTAAGCATTCATTTTTCATGCATAATAAAAAATACAAAAGAACTGTGGATGCTGGAAATCAGAAGCAGAAACAGAAATTGCTGGAAAATGTCAGCAGGTCTGGCAGCATCGTTGCAGAGAAATCAGAGTTAATGTTTCAGGTCCAGTGACCCTTCTTCAGAACAGACGGTAGCTAGGAAAAAGTTGCTTTTTAATGCAGAAGATAGGGTAAGTGGAGGGTTCAAGGAATAGGTGTAGGAAGGGCCCAAAGAGAGAGAAGAACAGTTGGACAGACAAAGGAGTGGAAAACAGTCAGCCAAGGAGAATGAATGGCTGCTAATAGGGAATATTAGTGGCTAACAATGGGTAGTGAATAATGGCAGCTCATGTAATTACATTGGGGTTGCGATAAGGACATGGAAGAAGGTGTCTCAAGCCCTAAAATTTTTGAACTCGACATTGAGTTCAGAAGGCTGTACAGGTCCCAAGTGGAAAATTAGGTGCTGTTCTTCCAGCTCGTGCTGATTTTTGCTGGAACACTGCAGCAGCCTGAGACAGAGACATTGGCCAGGGAACAGGGTGGTATGTTGAAGTGGCAGGCAAGTGACAGATCTTTCATGCATGTCAGACTAATGCATTAATTTAAAAATTGTGTTGTATAATCTGTTTGCTTATTTTGGGATTTATTTAAATTGACATGGGAGAGTTCAGTCATAAGTGTAAGTAAAGTTCAGTCGGTAAAATTTCCTTTATCCCCTCAATCCTATTTAAGTTTTCTTGAGGAAAACAAGTGGTTTTGGAGCATTTGAATTTTCAGCAGGTTTTTGATAAGGTCCCACATAGGAGAGTTTTAAACAAATTATATCACATGGAATTGGGGGTAACATACTGACATAGATTCAGTATTGTAGATGACAGAGAAGATGAAAAGAATAATTCCCAGGATGGCAGACTGTGACTAGTGGGGTACTGCAAGGATCAGTGCTTGAGCCACAGCAGTTCACAATCTATATAAATCTTTTGGATGTGGAGACCTAATGTAACTTTTACAATTTTGCTAATGACTCAAAATTGGCTGCAGTGTACATTGTGAGGAGGGTGCAAAGAAGCTTCAAAGGGATTTGGACAAGCCAAGTGAATGAGATAAAACATGGCAGATGACATATAATGTGAAGAAGTGGGAAGCTATCCATTTTTTGGGGAGTAAAACCCAGAAAGCCAGAGTATTCCTTAAGTAGTGAGAGGTTGTTTTGGTGTCGAAAGGAACCTGAATGTCCTTGTTCGTTAGTCACTAGAGACTAGCATGAAGGTGCAACAAGCAATTAGGTAGGCACTGTTATGTTGGAATGGTTTGTTCACCTTCGTTGCAAGGGGTTTTGATTACAGGAGTAAGATGTCTTGCTGCAATTATGTAGAGACTTAGTTACACTGCATCTGGAATATTGTGCATATTTCTGGTCTTCTTATCTAAGGAAGGATCTGTTTGCCATTGAGGAAGTCAGTGAAGATTCACTGGGCTTATTTTGTGATTATAGGTTTGTCATATGAGAAGAGATTTATCAACAGCCTGCATTCACAGATGTTTATAAGAATCAAAGGGGATTTTATATAAACATAAAAAACTCCGAAAAAGCTGGATAGACTGGATGGAGGGATTATGTTCCCTCCGCCTTGGGGTCTAGAATGAAGGGTTACAGTCTCAGAATACAGTTAGACCATTTATGTCTGAGGTGAGGAGAAATTTCTTAATTGTGACCCTGTGGAACTCTGCCACAGAAGGTGGTGGGGGCTAAGTAAATGTACATATTTGAGGAAGTCATTGATTTCTAAACATTAAAGTTATCAAGGTATGAAATGCGAGTATGGTGTTGTGGTAGAGGATATCATACTCTTATTGTCAATGATTCTGTGAGAGATTGCAGGAAAAGTGGTGTTGTGGAAGCTAATCAGCCATGATCTCAATTGGCTGAATAGCATATTCCTACTTTTATGTATCCCCCTTTTTCCATGAACAATATTTATAAAATGTTTTTGTAAAAGCTTTTAAATGACAAACCAAGGGCAGTTCTTCACTCTGTAACCATTATTGGTGGATGCTTTGGAATTTTGATGTCATCAGATTTTTTAAATGACTTTGCATTTTTTTTAATTGACCAAGTCTGAGCACACTATTCCAAAATTTATGAGAAGTGAAATGCCAGTTGGCAATATAAAAGTATTTCTGTTGAGAACTTGATTAAAACCAGAAGAATGATGAGTTGCAAGTCTGTCTTCCCTCTCTGCTATAAAAGAAGTGGGTTTGACAAATCTCACATTGGAATCTATCCATTACAGTAGTATGTTCAAATCTTGCTTTGCCTTTCTTGGTTATAATTCACTTTCTTTGCTCTAAGATAAATTTATTGCATGCTAAATTTTTGTAGTGTAACAATAGGTGTCTTTAAGTAATGTGTATGATTTGATACCCTTGACAGTAAAAGACGTTCAAGATCAGTCGATAGATCTTCATCTGTACATTTATGCCATTGTTCATTATAATTGCAAAGATGTAATGCAAATACTGCATATCTGTTGAATTATGAAATTGTCCAGTAGCAGCCAAAACTACAGCATCACATTCTAGTTGGGTAACAGATAGAAGCTGCACCTTTAAAACCTTGCCTTCATTTTCTTTCCCTAATAACTTAGCCATGTTTTTCTTACAGACTATCATTAAGAATTGAGCCTGGCACCAGCACACCACAGTCCACTGCATCAAGGGAAGATCTCGCAGGTAAGTGAGCACCAAAAAATTTCACTTGCATCTAGTGTAAAAAGGACTGTAATAGTAAATAGTTAATTTCAATTTTCAAGGCTGCTTACAGTATTGTGCCTGTATAAGACCAAATGTCGTCCAAAATGAAAAAACATGTGTAAATTCAGTATAATTATTACTGAAGACACCTCATGCGTGAGGGCCCAGTTTGGATTTGCAATTATCTTTAGTTTTTCTGAGATCATTTAAGAAGATGTTGACATTAGTGATTCCCAGTATTTTTAGTCAGCATCTAATCTAACTTACTAGCCCCTGAGAAATGGGAAGCTTCTTGGTGCAGGAATTTAACTTTTCTTTCTCCCTTGGGTCATTAGTTATAGGCATATGGGTGTGGGCACAATGGGCCAAATATCCACCTTCTGCACCATAACAGTTCTGAGATTCTGGAATGTATTTTACATTTAAGTACTTGAGAAGGAAATTTTTGCAGGCCTAATTCTGAATGAGTTCTTCAATGTCTCTTAGTTAAAAGAAGAACCTTTTCAAGGTAAAATTTTTTGATTTCGTGGTAACTGTGAAGTAATTTGCTCAAAGTAGGCATTTCTTCAAGTAATTTCTAAAAGGCTTTGGTGATGAATGCTGATTTTTTTCTTCAAATTTTGTCATTAAATCTATTGCTCTAATGACAGGATGATCATGCCATACATGCTAAACAACCTTCATATCTTTTCTGTCTGTTTCATTCTTGAATCATAATGTTGATTTCTTCTATTTGAAAATAGTTCCAGTAGTCTGGGAGTTGCAGTAATTCAGTCAGGAAGCTGCACAGATTACAGGGGTCTGTTCATTTGTTTGGGGTTGAGCCATGGTCAGTCCTGGAGATCTGTCAGCTGGAAGTCAAGGGGCTATGAAGGGCTAGTTCTATGGTAGGGAAGCTAGGAAACTCACTTGTGGGAATTTAAAAGTGATCACTAGATTTTTTGACACTAAAGAACAACAAAGGGATTGGGCACAAAAGTTTAGTTCAGATAGGAGAAAAGCCATGAGAACAGGAGAATGAGCTTGAGGGGCTGTCTGGCCAAATGCTTTTTTTCTGTTTATATACTACTATTTTCTGTGACAAATTTAGTTAACATTAACCTGGAAATTTGGCAATTCATCCCATTCAATATATTTCAATGGCATGAGTCTTGCCCTCTGCTTTCGCATCAAATTCTGGTGAGTTAACGTTTACTGAACCTAAATATTTTACTTAAGGTAAGTCAAGTGGTATTGTAATGTAGTTAACTGGTTGTTGTGTAATAACACAATGAAAGGGAAATCGTCAAAAAAAAATCAGGCCCAAGATATTGCAAAAAATATTTTAGAAAATTCTTAAACTGGATCAAGAACCATCAGAAACAAGTTTCCATACCGGAGATGTAGCACTGTCCTCACCACAGGTTAAATGGGTTCCCTAGTACTATTTGAAAGGTAATCTGATGGATTACTTCTGTTTCTCATAATGAAATAAAATCATGATTGAATAGTTCCAAAATATGCTCCCTCTTGTTGCTTTAGACTCTTATTTTAATGATGGCCACATTGTAGTAAAACAGAAAAAGACAGTATTTCTCTCATGCTAATGATATCAGTTTAACAAAAATATCGATATTGCTGTCTGATTGATATTCTGCATTCTTAGGTGTTTTGATTTCTGAATTGTTATATGACTGAAAATAACAAGTGATATTTCCATATCAAATGCTCCCAGATCAGATTTTGCCTTTCATCTCGTGGTTTTAATCGCTGAATGGCATACCAAACTGCGCAAGGTTGACATTTTCCTCTTCCACACCAGTAACCTGGTATTGCAGAAATTATAGCATGGAGAAAACCATTTGCCTACTGTGCTTGTCCTAGTTCCTAAAATAAGCATGTTCAGTTTTAATTCTATTTTCAGCCTTTCCCCATATCCTATTTATATTTCCATTTTAAAGTGTCTTGTAATATCTGTCTTAATTGCCACTTATGGTAAAACGCTTGAATCTTTACATGCACTTAAGTTTGCACCTCATTCCTCTGTGCCTGAATCTAGTCCCTCTTGCTACTATTCAACCGAGTCATTCCTAATTTTGATTTTCCCCCTATAACCTTAGAAGAATTACTTCTTCATAATGTGTTCCTATGAATTTTCATGTTTGTGAATCTTCACCATACTCCTTATGCTGTTTTAACATCCTCCCATTATTGAGTGCACAGAATTAGACATAGTACAGTAGCCAGCCAATGTCTTAAGATAATTTTGTAGTCATTAACTCTTTTTAATTCCAGATTTATTAATTTAGTTCAAATTCCACCAGCTGCCATAATGGGAATTGAACCCCTGCACCCCACCGAGAGCATTAGCCTGCCATTTATAGTACTAATCTGGTGACATGACCACTATGCCAATGTCTCCCCTTCAAGTTTAATATTATTTCTTGCATCCATGCCATGGTTATCCTAGTTCTAAAGTGTTAAATTATATCTTTGTTTTATTTCCAGCATTATTTGTAGGTCACTTCATTTTTGGTACTAATTCCTTCTTGAACAATTACCTGTGTTACGTCTGCTAATGTCCTTTGCGTGGAATATCTATTGGTTATTGTTCTGTTATTAAAAACAAAGGCCACATAAAGCCATTGTGTGATTTGTATGTGTTTTTAAAACCTCAGGACCTGATGCAGCACCATCCCCACAGAGTAGCCGACGATACATGGCAGCAGAGGCAGCCCTAATGAATGTACCACCAACTCCACCTTCTTCCAGGCACCTACTAACTCATGGACATAGGAAGTCCCACAGCCTAGGATACAAGTCAGTAATCTGTTTCTCTGTTGTTACTTCATCATCACGTGTTAAATTAAATGCACATCAATTCTGTAGAAAATAAAATATTCTGGTAACTGTAAATTTACTGGGAGAAGGCAAATCTCTAAGTTATTTCTTGTTACTTTTTTAAGTTGGCTTCCGATTATTTTCCAAGCTCTGAGATAACATTGTTTCTTTAAAGCAAATTTAAAACAAAACAGTTTTCAAAATCAAACCGTCTTCAGTCCTTTGAATTAGATGTTAATTGCTCTGGTTCCTTGTTTTGAGAGAAATTGTATGTTTGGTTTAGGGCAATTCCCTGAGGCATTTTTGTTGATTTGCATTCTGGAACTTTCAGCAAAATAATGAGAACTCATGCAAGACTGATTACTGAGCCAGATCAAGTTTATCTGGCATCTTTGATATTAAATTTGTGTCACTGGCTCACAGTCAGTCAGTCAACTTTGCATTGGAGTTGCAGTCTGCTTTATGAGCCTGCACATCAGGAGCCAGTAACATGAAACCATGGAAACAGTTAATTAATGGTGTAGGTGAATTGAGAGTTATGTGTGAAACAAGTCATTAAAAACAAGTGAGTAGAAATCATGAGGAAGACTACTAATGTAAAAAAAAGTGAAGACAGAAGCCTGAAGATGATTATATGTTTTTAAAAAGGAAGAAAATACAATATTAGAGCAAGTAGGGTAAGTTAATTAAGATGAAGGAGAAAAGTAACTGAAATATGCATTCCACAATACTCCAAAGGTTGTATGGTAAATACTTCACTTGTGTGCTTCTGGGGCTCACAAAAATAATGTGGTCTGCAACTGACAGAGTTAATTGATCTCATAGCCAATAGATCAGTTGGAAGCTTAGCAGTCCTCCCACAACCAATCATAAATGACATTCAACAATTAAACAACTAACCAGAGAGGAAAAGCTCCAAGTGTGCCCATCCTCAATCATATGGAAACCTAGCGCACAAGTGTAAAAATAGGGTTCAAGTATTTCAACCAGCATCAGCCAGAGCTGCCAAGTGGATGATTCATCTCAGCTTCCTTCTGATGTCCCCAGCATCACAGATGATAGTCCTCAGCCAAATCAATTTGCTCCATGTGATATCAAAAAACAATTGAATACCGTGGAAACAATAAAGACTGTGGACCCTGACAACATCTGGGTAGTAGTGCTGAAGACCTGAACTCCACAGAATAGGTGTCCCTCTAGCCAAGCTGTTTCAGTACTGCTACAACACTGACGTCAATCAACTATGTGGAAAACTGCCCAGGTATATTCTCTGCTCACGAATCTAATCAGGTCAGTTGCCACCTCTTCAGTGTACTCTCAGCCATCAGCAATCTGACCATCGGTGTTGTCAGCAGGTCTATCAAGAGGCACTTCACTAGTAATAATCTGCTCTCTAAAGCTAGGTTTGTTCCATGAAGGCCGTTTGGCTGCTGACCTCTTTGCTGCCTTGGTCCAAACATGAACTAAACAGCTGAACTCCAGAGGTGAGATAAGAATGCCTGCTCTTGACAGCAAGGCAATATTTGATCAAGCGTGCAATAAGGAGTGTTAGTAAATTGAAGTCAGTGGGAATTGGATATACTCTCCACTATTTGGAGTTATATTTAGCACAAAAGGAAGATGGTTGTGGATTTTGGAAGCCAATCATCTTAACCTTAGGACATCATTACAGGAGTTCCTCAGGACATTGTCTTCACTCCAACCTGCTTCATCAATGACATTGCTTCCATTGTAAGGTCACGAATAGAGATGTTCACTGATAACTGAATAGCATTCAGTGGCATTCACATGTCCTCAGATACTGAGACCCCAAGCAAAAAAAAAATGCTAGAGAAACTCTGGCGGTCTGGCAGCATCTGTGGAGAAAAAACAGTGTTAACCTTTCAAGTGTAGTGAGTCTTCTTCAGAACTGCAGAACTGCTGAGTTTCTACAGAAATTTCTATTTTTGTTTCACTTTCAACAAATCTTATATTGGCTATGCCTGAACATCCTAAACAGACTAAAATCAGCCCGGTCATATTATCTACTTAGAGAACTTGTCCAAATTCGTACCATACTCAGTGGTCCAAGGCTTCTTAATCCATTCCTCTCTCCCTCTAAAGATTTTGCCTGTTTCTGCTTTGTTCTCATCGTTATTGCCATTGAAACAATCACACATACCACCTGCAGTTTCAGCTTCTCCATTATTTTGTCAGCTTATGAATTTCATGATTCATAAACTCCAACTCACTCATAATGCATCTGCAAGTATCCCTTCTAAAATCTGTGCTTAAAGGAATAAATTTTGTGGAGAGATGTTCCGATGTGAAGAATTATTTTTGTTAAAATAACACTTTTCATTCTGTGCTAAATATTCTAATATTCAACAGGTTCAGATTGCAACGACTTTTTCACTATCATTTGTTCCAAGTAAACATTGATATGTTGATTTATTTATCTAACTGCCAAATATGGTGCCTAATCTTTCCATAGAGATTGGTCAAATTTTTCCTCCTTAAGTCTTGAAGACGAAATATCCCTTAGGAAGATAGGAATTTTATGTCTAGAATGTAATTTTTTATGCTACACTTACTCTTGCATCTCATTGTCTTTGCAAAGACATGGGATTAGGGCCATCAGTTCAGTTGATATACTTCCAGTCAAAGCAGAAATAAATGGCCACCTAAAAGTGCTGTAAACTCTTTACAAGGGAAATTGCATGATTATGAATTATCCTAATTTGAAAAATGGATAGTTTACTATGTCACTTTTAAGCAGAAATGTTACTTGCAGAAATTTTGGCAGAATTTTTATCCAATGGGTAAAAATCACCTTCCGTCTACAGTTCTCAGAGAATTTCGATGAATTGGGTTACAGCATAAAAAGTGACGCATGTGTGCTTAAATTATATTGCCTAAATGAGAAAAGTACAAGTAAATGTCTTTCTCCACAGCTTTATACACAAGATGAATACAGTAGAGTTTAAGAGTGCTACATTTCCCAATGGAAGACCTCGGCACCTGCTAGATGACAGTGTAATGGAAAACTACACTCCTTCAAGAGTTCAAGCAGAAAGTTCCACCATTTCCAGTGGAATATCAATAGGTGTGTGGATAAATCTCTGATCTTCCAGATCAAAAGAGTTTGTGGTGTAAACCACTTTGAAATTTAGAATCATTATGGTATTGGTGTTGGACATTTATACATGGTTCATAAAAAGTTTGAAGTTTAACAATGAATTAAATTTAAATAAACCAATAAATAATGGCTGGTATTGCATCAAACCAGGGAGAAAAGTTTATCAGGTTGCATAGACAACAGGGATGGCATAAATGCAAGGATTATAGGATAATTTTATTACATTTCTATTGATTGACAGAATTTAAAAAGAACTTGTACATGAGTTTTGTTATAGTACAGTATGCACGCACACACTCAACACTCTCAACAAAGCTGTTATTCCTGTATAAAGTAACTCAGAGGTAAAACGTAAAACATTGGATCAATGTCAGTTTAGAAATTATATTCGAGTCAAGGGCAAGCTTCTCGTGATCTTGTATGTTGTTTTTGTTTTTTTTCCTGAGTGGATAGCACTGAAATCTGCTCATCACTGAGTGAAAAATGAACCACTACTGATACCAGAGAAGACTTGGGCTAAATACTTTCTCAGAATAGGAGGATATTTATTCTTGAGGAAGTAGATTAGACTTAATTTGTATTTGGTGTATAATGCAGACCACACAGCACAGGATATGACAGAAACTTAGGATCTGGAAATTCTAAGTTTCCTTTGGAAAATAGTGGGGGTGGAAGTGGTATTTATATTGCAATGGGGTATCGATCTGAAGCTGGATTTTGGATCAGAGAGGTTTGCTATCAATGTTCCATGGAGAAGGGCCAGGTTAGAATTCTTAGAAAACTAGTTTGTTTTTCACTGATATGAGTTATGGGGCAACTGGTATTTCATCTCACTCAAAGAGTGGCTGTGACTGAAGTGATGGGTTGTTATGCATGCTTCTGCTCAAAGGTAACGGTGCGTATCTCCTCATTTTGGGATGGGATTTCTGTACTTTATAGACTATGGGGGAAAGGGATGATTTCCACTTGGGCATGTGCTATGAAGTGAGTCCTCTAAATTTTGGCCAGTGGGGAAACATGTTAAGTTTTCCGCTCAATTCTTTTTAGTGGATCAAAGTTTTCCAGTTTCTCTCAACTTGTGGTACAAGATAATGTTCAGGGTAGGCTATTTTAGAAAAATTATCAATTCAGGTTATTTTATTGTTTCATCAGTAGATTTTTTACTTATCTATTTATAGTTGAACTAATATTTTTGCACTTTACTGCCTCATTGATATTGTCAGTCTTGCTACATAAGAGCTGTATGCTCTCTGTTGCTTCATTTTGGGAAAAAATTGTGTTCCCTTACGTGCTTCTTGTGCAAAGATACCACCTTTCTTGTGAAGGGAGCAATATGGTATTTGTGAGATTTGAAACAGGTTTATCTTCAGTTGGATAGTATGCAGTTGCAATCCATTATATATTTATATTTCTTTCAATAAGCATTGTACCTTTGGAGTCTTGAGACCACTCTCTGTTTTTAATAAATATACTCATGACGAGTGAAAATTGTTTGAAACCTCCAAAATTAATTTTAATTCAGGCACTTACAACTAATAAGGAGTTGAGACATTAATCCCAGTTTGCTTTGAAGCCCAGGTCTCAAAGGTAAAAGGGCAGTGTACTAAAATTGACCGCCCTGTCCAACAATCTAAAAGTTAGGAGATAGCATTGAGAGTTTCTTCGTACAATTCTGACTTCCCTGGTGAATGAATCTGCTGGAGAGTTTTTTTTTTAAAAAGCAATGTTACTTGATTGATACAAACTTGGAAAATAAATTTGACTTTACAATTTTAGAAGGACCATTTGCAATGATATAGTTCTTGATGTTTATTGTTTCAGGTAGCAGTGAGGGTTCAGAACTCAGTGAAGATGTATCTTGGCCAGCATTCGAAAGGTAAGGCACTTTGAAGAAGCAAATAGAGATGGAGAATGTCTTCTGTTCCATAGAAAATAAAACAGTCCGACCTGATTACAGCTTGCCATGTGGCTGTAAAGACTCATCAGTTTTAGGTGTTTATTTCAATAGATATTAGGTGGATCAGTATCTCTACTGTAAAAGGTTGCTTGTGATGTGAATCATGTCAGGTTTACTGTTGGTGATAAAACTTTCAATCTTAGGCTTTTTTAAAATTTTGTGTTTCTTTAACTGGGCATCCCATTGCAAAAAATACTTGAGAAAAATGTTCATATTACCTTTCCAATTCATGAGTTGCTACAATTATCAAGCCTGGTTTATATGTTTACAGCAGAATATTCGTTTAGCAATTGAAGAGCAATAAATTGGAAATATACTAATGCTGGAAAGTAAGTATTCAGTGATATGAACATTTATATATATAATGTAATGTCTTCTCTTGCTTTAAATATAAATCAATGTATAGCATTGATAACTGTTTCCATTTTAGGAGATTTGGCAAGTTTCCATCAACTTAAACATGTTTATGTAGTAACATGGTATAGCTTTTATTTCACCAGAAAAAATGTTCAGTTTGGGATACAGATATTACTTCTTTGTCCAAAGTATATTCCTGTTTTAATAAGTAAAATATTAATTCCCAAACTTGCACTTCTGTAAGATGTTGATTTCTTTACCTATGTTGAGACCCTAAAGTCAAATTTCAAGCTGCAGTCTGCCAATCTGGTAATATAATCAAACCACGTGGTGTGCTTTTTGAAATGATCCCCTTGAAAATGGCAGAAGCTGTAGCTTCAGATTGACCCAAGACCTGGTCTTGACTCTCAGATCTTGATTAAATCACTTGGAGAGATGAATGTTGGTTTTGGTTTTAGCATAAAGTCAATTCTGATCACACTTCTGCTTTACTCTAATTCAGCCCTCTTCAAGATTCTCAATTTTAATTGCTCCATTGTTGATGAGTATGCATTCAGTTGCCAAGGCCTGAAGCTCTGGAAGTACCTTCCAACATCTTCCTACTTCCCAACTGCTTATTGCTCCTTTTAAATGCTCCAAGTTAAATGCAGCCAAGTTTTTGGATCACCTGATCTGATACCTTTAGTTCTGAAGAAGAGTCATGTCAAACTTGAAATGTTAACTCTATTTCTCTCTCCATAAATGCTTGCAGGCCTGCTAAGTTCCTCCAGCATTTTCATTTTTATTTCCTTATGTAAATTGGTGTCATGTTTTACAATGCTTCTCTGAAGCACCTTGTGACATTCTATTATATTAAAAGTGGAACGTAAGTAGAAGTTGTCTTTATAAAACCAGTGTTTTCAAATGAAAGTACCGTTTCCTGTGAAAGACTTTTAATTAATGCAGAAGTGACCTTCCCAGTATGTATTATTTCTATTAAAAACATGTTGTGTTTTGGTAAGACAAAACAATGCAGGATTTACACAGTTAATGGTAGTGGCCTTGGGAGTGTTGTCGAACAGAGTGACCTCGGGGTGTAGGTTCACAGCTCCTTGAAAGTGGTGTCACAGGCAGACAGGGTAGTGAAGAAGGCATTTGGCATACCTGCCTTCATTGGTTAGAGCATTGAGTACAGGAGCTGGGATGTCGTGTTATGGCTGTACAAGACATTGGTAAGGCGTCATTTGGAGTACTGAGTACAATTCTGGTTGCCCTGCTACGGGAAGGATGTTATTAAACTGGAAAGGGCGCAAAAAGGGTTTACAAAGCTATTACTGAGACTGGAAGGTTTGACCTATAAGGAGAGCCTGGATAGGTTGGGGCTTTTTCCCCTGGAGCTTAAGAGGTTGAGGGGTGGCCTTATAGAGGTTTATAAAATCATGAAGGGCATAGATACAGTGAATAGCCAAGGTCTTATCCCCAGGGCAGGGGAGTCCAAAACTAGAGGGCATAGGTTTAAGGTGAGAGGGGAAATATTTAAAAGGGACCCGAGAGGCAACTTTTTCACACGGAGGAACCTATGAATCTATAACAGTGGAAACAACATGTGATAGAGCAAATAGTACAGCCCAATAGTGCACAGGACAAGATTGAAGCACTTTCAGCCATATTCAGTCAGAAATTCTATGTGGCAAATCCATCAGGTCTCTTGAAGTCACTGGATGCTAAATTTCATCCATCAAGAAATAGCTGAAGATACCAGATACACCAAAGGCAATAGTACTGAAGGTATGCTATAGGACTAGCTGATCCCCAGCAAATTGTAATCGTGAAACTACATCATTGGCTGGCATCTAGTTAGCAATGTGGAGAATTAGCCTGGTATCAGTGGCACTTACTAATAGCTGATTTACCACTGTCCTGCTTGGGTTCTGCCAAGGGGCCCTGCTCCAGATCTTCTAAAAGTCTTGGTTCAAACATGAATAGAAGAATTGAACTCTAGAGGTGAAGTGAGAGTCTTTGAAATCACTGAGGCATTTGACTAAGCGGGGCATCAAGGAACCCAAACAAAATTGAAATCAGTTGGAATTGAGGAGGAAACTCTTCACTTGTTGAAAGCATACCTAGTTGAAACAAATATGGTTGTGATTGTTGGAGTCCAATCATGTCAGTCTCAGAATGCCATTGCAGAATTTCCTCACTGTCTAAGGTACAACTATCTTCAGTTACTTCATTAGTGACTTCCCCTCAATGACATCAAAAGTGGAGATGTTCGCGGATGATTTTACTGCATTCAATACCATTTGCACCTTCTTTGATACCAAAACACTTTGTTCCTGTGCACAGCAACACTTGGGCTGAGATGTGATAGTAACGTTTGTTACACTAATGCCAAGCAATGATCATCACCAACCGGAGAGAATCACACCATCTCCCTTTGACATCCATCAGCAATATTCTGCAAGGTTATGATGATGAGAAACTTAACTGGATTAGTCATGTAAATATTAAAATGAGAGGAGCAGGTCAGTGGTTGGGAATTCTGCGGCAAGTAACTCACCTCCTCACTCCCAAAATTCTATTCATCATCTACAAAACATAATCAGAGGTCTGATGAAATTCTGCCCACTTGTCTGGATGAGTGTAGCTTCAAAGGGCAAAGCTTGTTTGGCATCCTGTCTGTCACCTTAGACATTCATTCCTTCTCAGCACCACACAGCAGCTCAAATTTCTACTATCTACAAGCTGCAGTGTTGCACCTTTCCAAAGCTCCTTCAACATCACCTTCCAATCCCTGTAGAAGGACAAAGGCAGCAGATGAATAGGACCACTAGCACAGACCATTCAGACTTGGATCAATAATACTGTTTCTTCACAAAATAAAGCAGAAATTGAAGGAGAAACTCAGTAGGTCAAGTAGCAACTGTGGAGAGAAAATAGAGTTAGAGTGTTTTGAGGCAAGTGACCCTTCTTCAGAACTTATAGCAGCTAGGAAATGGTGGTATTTATGCTGATCATGGGAGTAGGGGATAAAGGAGTGACCACATAGATGGAGACAGAGCCCAGAGAGAGTGAGGGGAATAAAAAGGAATTATGGTGAGCTAAAGAAGAAGAGAAACTTCATAAGTGATAATATGCTATGAGTAGTTGAAAATGTAGTTGAAAGCAACTTATATCATGACAGGATCTGGAGTTTGGGGTTGGGTAATAGACATGGAGGGAGCTGTTCATGCTCCAAAATTATTAAACTTGATGTTGAATCCAGAAAGTTGTGAGGTCCGCAAGCAGATGAGGTGTTATTCATACAGTTTGCATTGAGTTTCGCTGGAGCACTGCAGCAGGCCTGAAACAGAAGTGTTGGCATGGGAACAAGGTGGTGTATTGAAGTGGCAGGCAACTGGAAGTTCACAGTGATTTTTATGGATAAAACATAGGTATTCCACAAAGTGGTCATCCAGTCTGCATTTCATCTCCCCACTGTAGAGGAGACTGTGTTTTGAGCAGTGAATACAGTAGACTAGATTGAATGAAATGCCGGTAAATTGCTGCTTCACCTAGAATGTGTGTCTAGGACCTTGGATAGTGAGGAGGTAAACTGACAAGTGTTGCCTTTTCTGTGACTCTTCACTGTTACTGAGTCATAATCCTGGAACATGCTCCTTAACAGCACTATGTGAGTACCTATACCACATGGATTGCACTGGATTAAGAAACCAGTTCAACACCAACTTAGCAGCAGCAATTAGGGATGGACAACGAATGCTGGTTTTGCCATTGATACTCATATTCCGTGAATGAACAGTAGAAAAAAATGCCTTTAATTTTGACAGTTTTTTTTGTTTGTTACTCTTCATTACAAATTCAGGTAACACTTCCAAATTTACTTCGAAAAAAGAGTTTTGAAACATCAGAGTGTGTTTTGGCACATGTGCCAGAACCGTATTTGATTATTGGTACTGAACGTAAAAGGATAATGCTATGCTGCCCATTGGGCATTCGTCAGTAAATTGAGGCAGTGGCACCTGTTGTAAATTAGTTGCAAAATTAAAGGTTTTCTCTGGTGACCCCATAAAACAATGCATGTTATTCTATTTTCTCAATGCTAACTAGATTATTTTCAGTAATATTTTGCTAATGCTCATGTTGTTTACTACTTTTAGAATGGCTTTGTAAGAGACTTCAGTGGCTGTATGTCACCACATTAACGAGCAGCCTATGGTGATGTTAATTCCTGGAAGATTGCATGTGTATGTTGTGTACCACAATCTAGAAGAATATTAACTCAGTATACAAAAGATATATAATCACAATTAACAAATTAATTAGCTTAATTAATATTGTATCCTTAACCTGAGGAGAAAAGTGGAGCCTACTGAGCTGATTCAGAATGCCACTTATTGAAACTTGGAAGCTCAGGATCTCTGCCCTTCACCTCTACCCTCAAGTATTAGGGGAAGAACCAGGGAAGAGTCTTGCCATAAGAATCTGTCGATTACTTCAAATGTTTAATTTACTTGACTTTGGAGTGGCTTCATGCAACTCAAAAGTCAAGATTATGACAACCAAGAGAATACTTTGAACATTGCTTTTCTTTCAAAGTGATGATAAATTTCTGCAGGAACTGGTTCTATTATTCTCTCTGCCCGGTGGCACGGGCTGGAAGGAATGGCTGTCGAAGCCACATGAAGGCCCACAGGTAATGATCTCTTTTATAAAGGGGCAGATGGCATATCTCTGTCCAAGGTGTATAATCAGGTGAAGGGAGCAACCCTAACACACACGATTAAATCTGTCTTCACTCTCTTAAATCAGTTTACTAACGTGGTGCTGTTTTTCAAAATTTGCAGTGCCTTTCATTTTAGCTATTTAATTATGCCTACATCTGTCTCACAGTGTTTTAGTATATGATGTATATTCGGTTACGTTTACTTTAGTGATGGAAAGGGATCGGTATATAATGCAGGGCAAGAGTTATAGCTGGGGGAAAGGCAATTATGAGGGGATGAGGCAAGATTTAGGATACATAGGATGGAGAAAGAAACTGCAGGGGCTGGGCACAATTGAAATGTGGAGCTTGTTCAAGGAACAGCTACTGCGTGTCCTTGAGAAGTATGTACCTATCAGGCAGGGAGGAAGTGGTCGAGCGAGGGAACCGTGGTTTACTAAAGAAGTTGAATCTCTTGTCAAGAGGAAGAAGGAGGCTTATGTAGAGATGAGGCGTGAAGGCTCAGTTAGGGCGCTTGAGAGTTACAAGTTAGCCAGGAAGGACCTAAAGAGAGAGCTAAGAAGAGCCAGGAGGGGACATGAGAAGTCTTTAGCAGGTAGGATCAAGGAAAACCCTAAAGCTTTCTATAGGTATGTTAGGAATAAAAGAATGACTAGAGTAAGATTGGGGCCGGTCAAGGACAGTAGTGGGAAGTTGTGCGTGGAGCCCGAAGAGATAGGAGAGGTGCTAAATGAATATTTTTCGTCAGTATTCACGCAGGAAAAAGACAATGTAGTCGAGGAGAATACTGAGATACAGTCTATTAGACTAGACGGGATTGAGGTTCATAAGGAGGAGGTGTTAGCAATTCTGGAAGGTGTGAAAATAGATAAGTCCCCTGGGCTGGATGGGATTTATCCTAGGATTCTCTGGGAAGCTAGAGAGGAGATTGCAGAGCATTTGGCTTTGATCTTTATGTCGTCATTGTCTTCAGGAATAGTGCCAGAAGACTGGAGACTAGCAAATTTTGTCCCCTTGTTCAAGAAGGGGAGTAGAGACAACCCTGGTAATTATAGACCAGTGAGCCTTACTTCAGTTGTGGGTAAAGTGTTGGAAAGGATTATAAGAGATAGGATTTATAATCATCTAGAAAGGAATAATTTGATTAGGGATAGTCAACACGGTTTTGTGAAGGGTAGGTCGTGCCTCACAAACCTTATTGAGTTCTTCGAGAAGGTGACCAAACAGGTGGATGAGGGTAAAGCGGTTGATGTGGTGTATTTGGATTTCAGTAAAGCGTTTGATAAGGTTCCCCATGGTAGGCTATTGCAGAAAATACGGAGGCATGGGATTGAGGGTGATTTAACGGTTTGGATCAGAAATTGGCTAGCTGTACAGAGGCTGGTGGTTGATGGGAAATGTTCATCCTGGAGTTCAGTTACTAGTGGTGTACCTCAAGGATCTGTTTTGGGGCCACTGCTGTTTGTCATTTTTATAAATGACCTGGATGAGGGCGTAGAAGGATGGGTTAGTAAATTTGCGGATGACACCAAAGTTGGTGGAGTTGTGGATAGTGCGGAAGGATGTTGCAGGTTACAGAGGGACATAGATAAGCTGCAGAGCTGGGCTGAGAGGTGGCAAATGGAGTTTAATGCGGAAAAGTATGAGGTGATTCACTTTGGAAGGAGTAACAGGAATACAGAGTACTGAGCTAATGGTAAGATTCTCGGTAGTGTGGATGAGCAGAAAGATCTCGGTGTCCATGTGCATAGATCACTGAAAGTTGCCACCCAGGTTGATAGCGTTGTTAAGAAGGCGTACAGTATGTTAGGTTTTATTGGTAGAGGGATTGAGTTTCGGAGCCATGAGGTCATGTTGCAGCTGTCCAAAACTCTGGTGCGGCCGCACTTAGAGTATTGCATACAGTTCTGGTCACCGCATTATAGGAAGGATGTGGAAGCATTGGAAAGGGTGCAGAGGAGATTTACCAGGATGTTGCCTGGTATGAAGGGAAGGTCTTTTGAGGAAAGGCTGAGGGTCTTGAGGCTGTTTTCGTTAGAGAGAAGAAGGTTAAGAGGTGACTTGATAGAGACATACAAGATGATCAGAGGCTTAGATAGGGTGGACAGTGGGAGCCTTTTTCCTCGGATGGTGATGGCTAGCACGAGGGGACATAGCTTTAAATTGAGGGGTGATAGATATAGGACAGATGTCAGAGGTAGGTTCTTTACTCAGAGAGTAGTAAGGGCGTGGAATGCCCTGCCTGCAAAAATAGTAGACTCGCCCACTTTAAGGGCATTTAAATGGTCATTGGATAAACATATGGATGATAATGGAATAGTTTAGGTTAGATGGGCTTCAGATTGGTTTCACAGGTCGGCGCAACATCGAGGGCCGAAGGGCCTGTACTGTGCTGTAATGTTCTATGTTCTATGTTCTATGTGTCACTGTCTAATTATTTCTTGTGCTGAAGAGAACTTAATGTTACTGTAACCATTGATTCAACAGTTCAATAATTTAGAGATATTTAATGGCAGGAACGTATAATTGTACATTCTTTGACATTAAATTTCCACCTTCAGATTTTGCTTCAGGACTTTATTCTAAAGATTTTTGGTGCAAACAGATAACCTTCTTGTTAACCCAATTCCATACACACTCATTTTGTAGCAGAGATCACTGGATAAGGAACAAGCCGATTCAATGGAAGTTGATGTTTGGTTTCTTCATTCCCTCAGCACTTGAGACCTAGATTGTGCTGAAATAGCTAATGATGATAGAAGTGGTGCAGGTAGCCTCTATACCAAGTCCCATAGGCCATAGTTAACTTTATGAAGTAAAATGTTGGAATAGAAAAGAGTCAAGGCAAATTTAAAAATACCTGTATCATATAATAATTACAGGTGTTTACTTCATGGGAGATTTAATGGCTTCCCAAATAGTGACAACTTAAATCATAGTCAGCCCTGTTGTCATTCAGAGAAAAATGTTTTACCCTGCAGTACTGTCCAAAGTCTTGTTAAAATATACAACGTAAAGTGAAGGCTTAAGACATGTTTCAAAATTGGTAGGTAATCTTTAACAAACTATAATGCATCTTCTAATTTCCCGAGACAGGTGATGTAAAATGTCAACAGTTAAATTTGCATACAGCTCCTTTTGTATGGCTTATGTTATGAACTTTCTAGAAAAGCAGAACAGTAAACTTGGACTTTGTTCTTATATACTTTAATTAAGACTTGCAAACATAACATGTTCTAGGTTGAACTTACATTGAATATTCTTCAGCTTCTAGGGTTTGCTGTGTTGTACCATGTTTTATCACCATGATTTTGATTTTATTTTTAGTTCTGTGGAATCCGAGGAACTGGCAGTAAATCTCTTCCCAGGCACTGTTACAATTCAAGGAGTTTTGAGAAGAAAGACCCTACTGAAAGAAGGCAAAAAGCCTACGGTAAGGAATGATTTCAATAATGTTGTTTGTTGGCAGCAGAAGAAGCCATGATGCCGTACTTATACAACAAAGTGACTGATATAATACAAGAGTTTCATCGTATCTGACTTCAGTTATTCAGTATTTCCTCCTTATGTAGTTTTTTCTGTAGCCAAAGGTGTAAGTACATCATTGACTAGATATTCCATTTTGGATTACATTTATTCCCAGGTAAAGCCATATAGAGTCCATAACAGAATAAATGTTTGACGTGAATGAATTTGAGTGATAAAGGAAATCATTATTAGGGTATTCAATTGGATGAGGTTGATTTATGATGTGGTTATTAGCGGTGTTCTGATTTAAATGTTGAATTTGTGCTTGTTCGGACTTCCTTTTATGTTCAACAAACTTAGCAGTGTACATACTTCAAAAAGCATGAAACAACAGAGCCATAGTTTAACTTGAGTATCGAGTAAAATAATGGAAATAAATATAAGAAAATAACTAGGAAATAAATATAAGAAAATAACTAGTAAATAGCAGTCACTTGAGTTCTGAAGAGAAATGACCAACATCTTTTATTATTTTGAGATAAATAGACTGAAAACCCTAATAGTACTTAAATTTTGCAAAGCTTTTGTCTAATTTTTATAGAAAAGCCAAATATAAAATTTGAGAGCAAAATGTCAGGGGACATTTAGAGGTCAGAGATAGTAGGAACTGCAGATGCTGGAGAATCCGAGACAACAAGGTGCATGGCTGGATGAACACAGCAGGGTCTAGGCCGAAACGTCAGCCTTTCTGCTCCTATGATGGTGCTTGGCCTGCTGTGTTCATCCAGCCCTGCACCTTGACATTTAGAGGTCATCTTGTTTAAGGCGAACAAAATAAGCTACTGATGTACAAAGTTGTGTGTTCGTTATTTTGTATTATACAAAGTCAAGTTGATCAGATCATAATTGATATTCTACATTGTCACATGCTGTGACACAAAGCAGTTGATCTTTTCATATCTGACTTTGTCACACCATGTTATTTGCTTGTTGCATCTTTCACATTTGAACCTTTTCAAATGTGAAAGACGCACATTTTCTTCACTGGTTTATACTGTTGAAGAAATAGACACTGGGCTGTTTGTGAGTCAGTTCCTATAAAAGCCAGCTGTTTAGACTGTTTTTCTAAATAATTGATTACATGAATTTGTAACACTTGGAAGTGATAAGAAATCGAATGGCGAGTAGGAAACAGGTGTTAATTAGCAATGGGAGGATGGACTGTTGAACCTAATATCTGCGATTAAAGGGACCTCTATTGTTTGATTTTCTCAATCCAAGTTAACATAAATAATGTAAACTGATCACATTCATAGACCATACCAAGCTAGGTAGGAGCCTTCATACTATTTAGAAGTAACTTGATGCTCAGCAATAGATTAGCACAATGGCCAGGATTTTTTCTTTCCTCTATACTCCTAAATCTGAAATTTTCTGTCAAAAATGGATGAAAAATCAAAAGGGGAGGAATATACAAGTAAAAAATCTTGGACAATGTGCAGGGGTGAAAGAAAAAAGGTAGTAAGAATTAAGATCTCTCAGAATAATTGACTACTCACTGGAGTGAGATTTTACAGCTTCATCAGTCGTACTTTTTTAAATCTCTATGCTTGAATGTCCTTGCTAGTACCATAAATCATTTGGGTTTTTTGCAACCTTAATTGCCAGCTCTCAATAACTTTGATAGGATTCATTTATAATGCTGTTCAACAATTTCATTATTGTCAACTTATTATTAGATTATTAACTTCATCATGATGAACTTTTATCACCTTTGATAAAGCTAACAGTGGAGCAGTAAAAATCAGCTAGAAATTTGTGAAGAATCTGAACCTGTAGCAATTCTTTTGTTCCAGAAAGTGCTGGAATTTTTGACAAATGAATAATAGTGAAGAATGTTGATGCATCATTGTGTTATGGATCAGACTAAATCCCCTCAAAACATGTTAAGGAAGTAGCCTAGACCCTAAATTTTTCTTGTTTTAAAGACAAGTGCCAGGCGTTGCATTGCAGATGCAATTCAATTGGTCAAACTACTAATCTTGAAGCAAAATAGTTAAAAGACAATAAAAGAAAGAATTGGAAAACCTTAACTCTATCAGAAAACTTAACAGAATGATAGATTATTTAACTACTAAACAGTAACTGTTCCGATATAGTAACATCCCAGAAACATATCCTTGGCAAAGGCAAATTCAATAAAATAAATTGTCTTGCGTGCAATTCTCCAGTCCAGGAGGAAAAACATCAAGAGAAAACAGAGAGAGAGAGTAGCAGGGAGAGATTTACTACAAGCAACTGCTACTGAAAAACTAAAACTAAAAATCCTGGTTCTATGGGAGCTTGACCCCACCCATTCAGGCTGCTTCTATTGTTTGAGCTTTAAATTAAAAAAATCCAAGGCCTCACAAGCTGTTTACTTTATTGGCTTTGGAGCAGACTGCCTTTCACCTCTGTCATCTTCCTTCATAGGAAAAACCAGGACAAAATACACCTCCTAAAGCCATAGTATCGTCACAATTGTAGTAATGCAGCAAATTTTGTTTCAGTGTTATTAGAAGTTGAAGCTCATACATATATGAAGTCAATAGCATAAAATCAAGTATTTTCAGCACCAGGTTCTGCCTTGTCTTCTCGCTAATGCAAACCCAAAGGCAGATATTCCTAGTGATAATAAATACATTGTTCTCAGGGATATCTGATAGACCTTTGGGAAATATTTTTGTGTGCTTAACACTTTATCAGTTTTCAAATGTAAAATATTTGCTGCTGTTACCTGAAGCTCTATTTATTTTGTTCTCTACGCTCATACCTCTCCTATGACGATGCTGTACTAATCTCTTCACAACTATATCCCATACCCAGGCTGATTTCTTGTCCCCAGAATGACAAGTTTGGGCAACTAAAGGTTGATTTTATCAGCTTGTATGCTTGTTTTTGTTTATTGAAAGGGAGAAACAGTAGGGATCTTGGCGACAGTGATGCAGATACTATCAAGTTGGAAACAATGGTGGGGAATCAGATGTAGGATTTGAGATTTAACTCTGCTTTATAGGCTACTAAGATTTTGCACAAAGTGGTTCAGCCTCAGTGAGAATTGAGAAGGTAAGATGAAGTCATTGGCAGGAAGTGGATACGAAATACCTTTGTACAATGGGAGGTAATTTTGATTTATCTACTATTTGATATGCAGTTGACTGGAGCTTAGAGGAATGACAGAGAGGTGGGGTAAGTTCTGTAGCATATATGTGGAAACTCACCCTTTTCCTATGCACTCATTTAAGGAGGACTGTAAATATATGTTAGACCATTGGTTTGGTCTTTCTGGATGGATGACCTAACACAATCTGTATCATGACATTTGTAAATAGAAGTGATTAAAGTATTTAGTATTGCATCAGATTTGCACTTATTATGGAAGATTTATTTTGAGGCCTTTTTTCAAAAGACTTCAAGGGAATTTCCAAATTGACAACTGAAAGTGGAAAGAATGCTTTATTGTTGACCTTTGTGGAGTTGTTCAGTCATAGGTGTTGGAGTTGTCATCAGCAGTTTCCTGGTTGATTAGCAGCTGTTGCCAAGGGAAATAAGTTCTCAGTTTTTCCTGGAACATACGACTTTTAATGACTTAAAGTGAAAGCAGAATATATAGAAAAAGTCATCCCTTCATTTTTTATAATGCCTATAATGTTTCTAGTATCTGTTAAGTTTTGTTTATAATGTACAAAAACTTTTGGATCTCTTATTGCAAATACTCATTTAGATGACCACTGCACTGAAGAACAGAAGAAAATTGAAAAGGCAAATTTTGTGTAAAAAGCAATTGAGTTTGAGATTCAGGATACGGGCTCACTAATGCATGCTGAATGGTATGTGAGTATCCGTGAAGAAGTGTTCTTACAAAAGGAATCTGCATATGGGACATGCTGAAAAACAGGTTAATAAAGCAGGTTAGGCTAAATGGCAGCTCCAGTTGCTCAGTAATTGGCTGCTTGCTAATGAGCAGATGGTAGGGGATTGCAAGAGGCAAAAAGCTTGGTAGATGATAGTTCACAAAAAAAATGCAAATAGAGGAGCCCTGGCTACCCATTTTTACTTTGTGTGCAGTGTCAAGATGGTATCCTTGATAAAATTTGTGAAGTTCCTACCAAATGGGAAACATATTACTTTTGGAAAGCAAAATACTGGATGTTGGAAATCTGAAATAAAGCGGAGAATGCAAGAAGTACTCAGCAGATCAGGTAGCATCTGTGGAGAGGAGAACAGCCTTGATATTTCAGATTTGTGATCTTTCATCAGAACTGGAAAGTGTTAGAGATATAAGAGGTTTTTTAGTACACAGGCACAGAAAGAGATCGGTTAGAGTGTGTTAGATAAAGAACAAAAGGCCTGGGATAAGATGGAACATAGGGGATGTAGCGATTGTAACAAGGTCAGAGAGCTGGACCTCATAGAATATGACTTCTCTGATTTGGGTTGTTAATCTGGTCCAATCAGGGAGCCCTGGGTGAGGGTGAGTATCAGATATACTAACACTCTAGTGCCTGACTCTGTATGAGGAATTCTATAGTCAAGGATTGTTCATGTATAAATAAAGACTGACTTGGTGATAAGATATCGGCGCTCTGGAGTTATTTCAGTGGTGACGAGAATAAAGCACAATCCAGAAGAAACCCACTTGCAACAGTCGTCTGTGAGTTGGGGTAAGCATTTCTTGCATCATGTCCTTTTTTAGGAAGGTTAACTCATTTGACCTTGCCATCAAAGGCTGGTCCCACAATGTGGAAAGAATGTGTTATTTTTTCAGTGCAAAACACATTGTAGCAGATGAAAAACAATGAGTAATTCTACTGACAACCTGTGGAGCTGCAGCTTTCTCTGTCATTAGGACTATAACTTTCCCTGAAGCACCAGGTACTAAAACCTTTTCAAGAATTGACTGACATAGTTAAGGAATGTTACAACTCCAGCCTACTTGGCAATTTGAGAACAGGGGAATCGTTTTGTGAATTTTGA